AAAGCACTTCCGAAGGCCATTGCAACAATATCTTCCAATCTGCAGTGTAACCTTCTTACACCTCATCAACAAACGGCATCTAATTTCCCTTCCCTTGAATCAGACCTAGCCTCGGTGACTCTCTCGTAACCAAGAGGTACTCAGCACAAGTGAGGCTGCCTGAATTCTGCAACCAGCTTCTGCTTTGATCTTGACCTTTCCGGGTGCTCGTTCTTCAGGTGGCCCCCCTCATGGGACCCTCCATTGCAGCCCAGTGCCGTAGAGATGCCCAAACCATGCAGAGATGCTCCCATCTACAGACCCGGCTGAGCCTTTGAGTTACCCAGCTCAGGTGCCAGGCACGAGTGAAGAAGATTCCAAACGATTCCGGGCCCCAAATGATTCAAATCATGTCAGTTGTTCAAGCCTTCACAGCTGAGGGCCCAGACATCCTAGAGCAGAAACAAACCACTCACCATGTCCTGTCTGAATTCCGGACTCACAGAATCTGTGAACATCATGATGATGATTTTATGCCAGTAAGTTTGGAGTGGTTTTTCATGCAGCAGTAGATAACTTGGAATATCCCCTAGGGCACCTAAGCCAGAAGTTATTCCTCAGGCCTCCTTTTCTCTTGACCCTCAGATCTAATGGGACTTGTGAATGTCAAATCCTTAACATTTTCTTAATTTTATTGATTGAGTGATTGATTGGGAGTGAGCACGTGTGTGTGAATGGGGGCGATGCAGAGAGAGAGGGAGAGAGAAAGTCCCAAGTAGTGCTGACAGCACAGAGCCAGACATGGGGCTCAATCTCACCAACTGGGAGATCATGACCTGAGCCAAGATCAAGAGTTGGGCACTTAAGTGACTGAGCCACCCAGGTGCCCCCAAATCCCTAACATTCATCATGATCTGTCTCCTTCTCTCTATCCCGGCCATCTTGGTTTAGGCCCTCACCAGTTTTTCTTGGACTATTGTCTACTCCCTTCTCCCTGCTCTTGCCAACATGGGATTTCTAAAATAAATCCATGTACCCAGTATATTTATTGGGTGACTATTATGTGCTTTGCATGGAATAAACATGGCCCCAATTGTCATGAAGTCAACAGTCTAGTGGGAGAGAGTCACATGGTCATTCAAGGACATAATCATAAGTGCCTTCACGGGTATGAAGGAAAGCTCATACTACAGGGGGTCTGCTCCAGGCTGGGGCTCAGAGAAGGCTTCTCTAAGGAAGTGAGACAACACCGAGAGCCGAAGGGGGAGGAGTCGTCAGCCACATGGAAGGAGCTGGCATCAGATCCCACGTGCAGTGAAGTCTTTGTCCCCCATGAAGGCCAGACTGGGAGGAGCAAGCAAGACTATGGAGAAGCCGCGGTGGGAGGCGGCTACTGCACATCTAGCCATGTTATTTTCAGCATGTCCAAAGTCCAGCACGGCCCATCATCTAGGTTCCAAAACTGACTCTCTGTTCCCTGAATGCTCAGCTCCTTGGAGCCTCCCTTCAAGGTGCCTCAGCCTGGAACACCACGCTCCTGACACCACTGGGGTTGATTTACCTCTCATACTTCCTGCGGACTCAGCTCAGGCATTGTCACCTCCAGGAAGCCTTCCCTGACCAGGGAAGCGCTCACCTGGTTCCCTAGTCATACCTGTGAAGCTCTCTGACATGTTCAATCACAAATGCCCACTGAGCCTCTCCCATGCGCCAGGCACAGAGCCTGGTGCCCTGACCCCAACAGGGCACAAGACAGATTAGCCCCCGGGGCCCTGTAGCACTTACAGCTTAGCTGGAAGATGGGCAATAGACAACGAGTCACTCAGCTTTTGATTTTTTTTTTGGTGGGCAGGGTGTCTACAAACTGTACCTTTTCCTCCAAGTTTTAATTTAAATTCTAGTTCATTAACATGTAGTGTAATACTGGTTTCAGGTGTAGAATTTAGTGATTCATCACTTACATGCAACACCCAGTGCTCATCCCAGCAACTGCCCTCCTGAATGCCCATCACCCATTTAGCCCATCCCCCCACCCTCTTCCCCTGATCAATCCTCCATTTGTTCTCTATCATAGTCACTCAATTTTTAAATTTTTTTTAATGTTTATTTATTTTTGAGAGAGAGAGAGAGAGACAGAGTGTGAGTGGGGGAGGAGCAGAGAGAAAGGGAGGGAGACACAGAATCTGAAACAGGCTCCAGGCTCTGAGTTGTCAGCACAGAGCCTGACACGGGGCTTGAACTCGGGACCAGCGAGATCATGACCTAGGCCCAAGTCAGACGCTTAACTGACTGAGCCACCCAGGCGCCCCAGTCACTCAGTTTTTAAGTCTCACTGAGAGAGGTGCTGAAAAGCTGGTGGGGAAGCCCACAGTGACCTCCTCTTGTCATAACCACCTTGTTCCCCAGGCTTTTAGTTCCTCTGTGTGTGGTAGGTGTACCGCCTTCCTCCTGCCGTGAAGCCTCTGTATGTGGTCCCCTACTCAGGACCGCCCTGCCTCCCCTCTCCCTTCCCCTGATGAGCTCCTCCTCATCTCTCACTTGGCAGGCCAGGCAACCTTTTTCACAAGGAAGCAGGGCAGGCTCCTGTGTCCCAGCCCTTGGAGCAGAACCACAGGTCCATCCATTAGGAGAGCAAGTCATTGCATGAGTGAGGCTCTTTCTGCAAGGTTTAGCTTTGTCCCTGTAGCTGTACGTGTGCAGGGGTTAACTTTTCCACAGTTTTCTGCCTTCTCTGTTTCGAGAGACTTGCGCCTTGACCTCCTGCAGGTAGACTGCCCTACTTCAGCCCAGACCCACAGCTTCACCTGAGAAACCACTGGGGCCCAGGAGAGCAGATGTGGGAGTGGCATGAGAGTCCACAGGTCCGCGAACAAAAAGACTGGAGAAGGCTGTGTTCATGGGAAAGGCTTAGAAGATGGCAGAGGCAGGGGTGACTGACCCTAAATCACCCCAAATTTCCTCAATATGTGGGCAAATTCACTGGTGGGAAAATGAACTGTTCTTTATCCCATACACCTCTCCAACCATTCATCATCCTTGGATGTGGGGACAGAAGGAGCTGTTTAAAAGAAGGAGTCCACAGCTTTAACCTTGGGGGTCCAGGAGAATCTGAGTGCCCCAAAAGAAAGTAGAGGGGTCGAGAAGAAGGTTCGATGATGGACAGATGAGAGGAGATGATAGGGCAGGGTAGACACTTTCACTTTGATATGGAAGACATTAAGGGAGGAACTGGCAGAGGAGGTAGTGGAGAATAAGAGCTACTATTTATTGAGCATTTACTGTGTGCCTGAAGCTGTGCTAAATCCTTTACACTTGTTTTCTGATTTTTAAAATTGTTTTTTAATCTTTATTTATTCTTTTTTTTTAATTTTTTTTTCCAACGTTTTTTATTTATTTTTGGGACAGAGAGAGACAGAGCATGAACGGGGGAGGGGCAGAGAGAGAGGGAGACACAGAATCGGAAACAGGCTCCAGGTTCCGAGCCATCAGCCCAGAGCCTGACGCGGGGCTCGAACTCACGAACCACGAGATCGTGACCTGGCTGAAGTCGGACGCTTAACCGACTGCGCCACCCAGGCGCCCCGTAATCTTTATTTATTCTTTGAGAGAGAGCACGCGCGCGTGTGCACAAGCAGGGGAGGGGCAGAGGGAGGGAGACACAGAATCTGAAGCAGGCTCCAGGTTCTGAGCTGTCAGCACGGAGCCCGACGCGGGGCTCGAACTCACGAACCGGGAGATCATGACCTGAGCTGAAGTCGGACGCTCAACCAACTGAGCCACCCACGTGCCCCATTTTATTTTCTGATTTAACCTTTACAACTACATTATGCCCATTTCATGGATGGAGACACTGAGGCACAGAGAGAAGTCCTTTCCTCAAGGTCACACAGCTAGAAAGCGGTCCAGCATCCTCCCTCTTCCTCACCACACACCTTGCCTCTCAGAGTGACGCAGAGATGTGGTAGGTGAGCAGGTTAAAGGGAGTGAGCTTGCTCAAGGAAGCCCTGTAGAGAGAGAATGGAGTACGAAGGAGGGTTGTGAACATTCTTCAAAAGGAACAAGAAAACAGGAGGGGTGCTGGGCAAGAGGGTGTTGTCTCCTGCCAAGGTCAGCACTCTCCAAGGAGAGACTGTTACAAAGGTCAAGCACTTCGGGGAAAACAGGTTGGAATATGATGGCCGACAGAAAGCTCACTGGCCTTGGCACTGGGGTTCTTGGTGACTTTTAAGACAGCATTACACGGAGGGCAGAGGGCAGCCCATGGAGGGGAGGAATCCAGGGGCCCAAGAGGATGCAGTACGAGAGAAATGGGTTTCCAGAAGCTTGGCCAAGAGAACAGGAGACAGGACACCAACTGTGGCAGAAGGCGGGATTCAGGCAAGAATTTGTGGTAGGACAGGGAAGCTGTGAGCACATCCGTGATTTGTGAGCCAGCAGAGCAGGAAGATGGGAGAGGTCAGAAAGCAGTGCTCCCTGGGAGGCAGGAGACAGCCTTCTCATTCATCCCCAGGCTCAGAAGAAAGGGCCAGTCTGCACTGATCCAGTGCTATCCCGAGCATTTATTTATTCCCAAGGGCTTCATCTCTAAGCTGGTTCCTGGCCGGCACAGAATTGAGTTGACATAGCGGACACCAGGATGGGTGGGATGGTTTTAAAAAAAAAAAAAAAGGCAAATTAAAAAACTCCACAGCATTCTAGAATCAAGGGGTTTTAGGAACCTGTGGCTGAATAAAATTAAACTGGCTTATTATTATTTTTTAATCTTTATTTACTTTGAGAGAGAGAGAGAGAGACAGAGTATGTGCACGTGCACGAGCCGGGGGAGGGGCAGAGGGAGGGAGAGAGAATCCCAAGCAGGCTCCCGGCTGTCCGCACAGAGCCTGATGCGGTTCATGGCTCGGTCCCATGAACCGTGACCTGAGCCAAGAGTTGGACGCTGAACTGAGTGAGCCACCGAGGCGCCCTTGAACTGGTTTCTTTCGTGCGTGAATTTCTTGGATCCTTTTCAGCTAATGGACAACCTTAAACTCCAAGAAGAGGTTAAAGAATTCGGAGCTTCCGGTCTCAGGGGCTAGAGAATCTTTGTGCCCTGGAGCATCTGCAAAAGAAGGGTTTCCCAGGATGCACACTGGGAAATACTGCTCCCGTGTGCTCATCAGGAAACGAGGGTTCATCCCATAGCATGGGAAACATTCCCACTTATTCTTCCCAATCCTTGCTCAAAGTAAACTCAGGGTAAAATTACTCCAGTAAAATCGGTGGGTTTATCTCTTCCTCTGTGGCACATTCTAACAGCGTGCTTACGTACCCTTGCTCTGGAGCCTCACAGCTCACAACAAACGTCCTTCAACTGAAAAGCATTCATAATGGAGCTCTCAGAACGCTTGCTTAACTCAGCTGGGCTAGGGCATCTTGAAAAAACCAACTTTCTGCCCTAAAAGGATGCTGTTGAAGAGATCCTGTTCTGTTACAGAGCGCACTGACCTCTGGTGTTCCTCAGCCTGACAGGACGTCACAGAGTGACTCACGCTCTGGTTTCTAAAGAATTAGTTCCTTGGAGAAAACTATCCTTCATGGAAAATGTCAAGACAGACAGAGGGTCATTTAAAAAGGAGCGACGCTGGGGCGCCTGGGTGGCGCAGTCGGTTAAGCGTCCGACTTCAGCCAGGTCACGATCTCGCGGTCCGTGAGTTCGAGCCCCGCGTCGGGCTCTGGGCTGATGGCTCAGAGCCTGGAGCCTGTTTCCGATTCTGTGTCTCCCTCTCTCTCTGCCCCTCCCCCGTTCATGCTCTGGCTCTCTCTGTCCCAAAAATAAATTAAAAAGTTGAAAAAAATTAAAAAAAAATAAAAAATAAAAAAAAAAAATAAAAAGGAGCGACGCTGACCTTAACTGGGAAAATGACCGAAAATATGAAAAACAATTAAGAAGGGAGAAGGAGGGGTGCAGAGGAAAAAGGAAAGGATGGAAGGAGGGAGGAGGGGAGGAAGCAGACCTGTTGGGGGGCGTGCAGGGCAGGAGAAGGAATGCAGGAGAGAGGTCTGGCACTTACTGAATGTCTTCTGTGCTTTGGGGAAGGGCAGGTAGAGGTGTGTTTCTAAAAGTCACAAGCAAGGTTGTTTGACAGGAGTTTACGAAATGAGAACAAGCAGGGGCACCTGGCTGGCTCTGTCCGTAGAGCGTGCAACTCTTGATCATGGGGCTGTGAGTTCGAATCCCACATTGGCTGTAGAGATTACGTAAAAATAAAATCTTCAAAAAGAAAAGAAAAGAAAAGAAAAAGAAATGAGACCCACCAGATTCCCCGAGAAATGTAAGCCACCACTGGAAGAGACCATGAAGAGCCAAGATCAAGTCTGGCCTCCCTGGCGACCTGCATTCCGACAGTAGAACTCTACAAGAGGGATGACCTACAGACTGAGCGATCAGGAAAGGCCCTGAGAACATGCATGTGAAGGTAGAGTTGGAAAAAAACCAGAGGTGAGAGTTCCCACCGAGTACGTGCTTCTCTGACATTTCTGCAGGCACCCAACCCCGGTCCTTTGTTACGTCCCGGACCACACAGCTGATAGCGTGGCACCAAGCACCAACAGCAAAGTTCACCTTGAACCCCACGGAGCCGGTTCTCTGCCAGCTCATCAGATATCCACATCTGATAGCGATTCCAAGACTGTGACAGGCAACTTAGAAGTTCAGCGGGGGAAAGAATGAGGAAGAAACGCCGTATTCATGATGTGAGGCAGCCAGCTAGAACTCCCCGCTAATTTGTCAGGCTCTTTCAGCTTTATCCCCATTCGAACATCCAGTCTGGACCTGTTATTCAGAGGCCACATTTCCTGTTCAGACTGGCAGTGATTCCATTTTAATTTAGCTCAGCTACCGTGATTTTCATACCTTCTGCTTCAAGGCAGAAAAGCGCTTAAGCTTAACATTCGACAGCTTAAAATGATAGCCGGAAATCTACAGTAAGTTCTGATCGTTCTAAATGTTTGATGCGGAAAACTAAGGACGGCAAACAGTATACATAGATCAATGGCCTGCCCGGTTTTGGGGCCCAGGTTGGGAGGGGACCCATTTGGACATATGTTCTCCCCCGTGGAGATCCTCCCTACACGGGAGAGCTGGACAGAGGCAGCCTCTGACCAGAGCAGGAGGAATCATCCCCAAAGTCTCATTTCATGCATGTTGCTCTCTCTACCGGTGAAACAGTTTGAAAAACAAAACAAAACAAAACCAAAAAACCCCCAAGCTGACCAGGGAGCAGAACCCGGCAGCAAAAAAGAGGGGAGCAAGGAGCGACACAAAGTAAGCAGACTTTGGGGGATCCGGGAGGACAGAAGGGCAGTGACGGAGACTTTGGGGAAGCCAGATAGAACCAGAGGTTATTCTGACTGAGGCTGTGGAGGCAGCATCCAGAGAGTCAGAAACAGTAATTTCGTGGAGATTCCTAGAAATGAGAATCTAAAGTTATTCAGCTGGAATTTGAGAGACCATGGAAGAAATATCTTGAACCTGAAACCTGGAGCAAATCTGGGGCCCGAAGAGAAAAGGTTCAGCTTCCTCGTGGAGCACAACCGCCACAGGGAGAGACCCCATTTTCTTGCCAGGGTGGAAGAACCAGCAGAAAACGAAATAGAAAAGCCACAGCGGGAAAAGCATCCTCATAAAAGTAAGGTACACTCCGCTGTGGCCTCAAGGACTGACTGTCTACGGCTATTTTTAAGCACTATCGGTACAGCTGAGTCGTTGTGACAGAGCCCGTGTGGCACACAGAGCCTAAAACAGTCACTGTCTGGCCCTGACCCCTGGTCCAGACCGGGCCTCGAAGTTGCCCTGATTCTGGGCAGGTAGGGCTGTTTGCCGTTGCCCCTCATAGCAAGCAGCCCACACCGCATCATATTCACAAACGGCTGAACCAAAGGTGTGCCAACTCCAAGCTTCCTGGTGCAGTAACAAGCAAATTCCTCCGCATACAAGTCCCTCCTAAAAGTAGACACCAACCAACACCTTCCATTTTCTGGACAGAACGTGTCAGGTGTGTCGACCAGCCCTGCATGCTGGGGACGAAGAGTCCAAACCCATTGTTGTCCAAGCCCATTGCCCCCGTTCTCCCAGCTGTATCCGAAGAGGAGGAAGATACCTCCTGGCCAACCTAACATGGACTGGCCATCCTGTGCACCTGTGGTCGCTGCCCAGTGAGGACAGACAAGGATGGGACCCAGTCTCCGGTCCCAGTGAGGTTACCTTTTCGGAATGTCTCCCGGTTTTCCTCTGCTTCTCTGTTGACTCGATTCTGTTCTGGTTCAACCGCAGCTCCCTGGTCTTCGAGCTCATCTTCTGTTTCATCGTCACTATAGGGAACCACTTCATCATTCGGCTGAGAATCCTCCTCAAATGTCGTTTCTGAGTCTCTTTCAGAACTCATCCTGCTGGCAAACTGGAACTACCTGGTTTAAAAGAAAGAGAAACCAGAGTGAGTTATGACTCGCGCCCAGTTTCTGCCTGCGCCCAGTAGCAATGCCCTTTTAACGGAACATAATTTAAATGAACGTGCAAGTGTGTCTGAACAATGACCCCAAAGTTCAAATTACCAAGCAAATAAGAACAAAACCATTCACAGGGCACCTGGGTGGCTCAGTTGCTTAAGCATCTGACTTCAGCTCAGGTCATGATCTCACAGTTTGTGGGTTCAAGCCCCGCGATGGGCTCTGAGCTCAGAGACTGGAGCCTGTTTTAGATTCGGTGTCTCCCTCTCTCTCTGCCCCTCCCCTGCTCATTCTCTGTCTCTCTGTCTCTCTCTCTCTCTCAAATATAATGAACATTAAAAAAATCAATGTTGGAATGAGCACTGCATGTTGTATGTAAGCGATGAATCGTGGGAATCTACTCCCGAAGCCAAGAGCACACTGCATATGCTGTATGTTAGCTAACTTGACAATAAATTATACTTTTTAAAAAAAAAAAAAAAAAAAAAGAAAACCATTCATTAGTGATTGCATGCTTGAGCAAGAATTAAGAACAAAAATGTAGCTGCAAACTTTTTTTTTTTTAAGCGTATACAAGCTTTAAGGTAGTATTTCAAATTGCAGGTCTCTACCGAGCAAAATAAATTTAAGTCATAACCAACATTAAAATAAAATGAAACAGCTAATAAAGCATCGGGGCACAGCAGGCGTCGTAAGAGTCAGTACTGTTGGATGAAACCGTCTGATGAAACACACACACATTTATTTGCATTGTAGGTCTTAATGCAATTGCATTTCTTACTGTGGGTTGCTGGCAAAGTTTGAGACACAGTGCCCTAAGACATCTGGTTTCCCCTAATGCTAATATTCTGAGCTTTTACTCTGTGATACATTAAAAAAAAAATTTTAACGTTTATTTATTACTGAGAGACACAGAGCATGAGCAGGGGAGGGGCGGAGAGAGGGGGAGACAGAATCCGAAGCAGGTTCCAGGCTGTCAGCACAGAGCCCGACGTGGGGGGGGGGGGCGGGGGTCGAACTCACGAACCGCGAGATCATGACCTGAGCCGAAGTCGGACGCCTAACCGACTGAGCCACCCAGGTGCCCCACACTCTGTGATACATTTAAGGCTTAGATCCTCACCTTTTACTTCCTAGGAGCACTCCCTCACCTCTCTTCCTAACTACCCCCACCGACACCCTGTATCTGGAATTTGTGCTTGTGTGTATGCTGCTGTTTAAAGTGAATGCACAAGTGATAAGTACAACTGTAGTCATATTAGGAAAATATTTACACAACTACCATGGGTCACATGAAGATAGCCATGCAGCCTGGCGTTATTTATATAAGCATCATATTGCCATGTACCTGACGTTGTTAATAACAGCAGCTCACATTTATATAGCGTTAACTGGACTCCAGGCTCTGCACGCACAGCTTCACCGACATTGGCTCCTTGAAACTTCCCACACGACCCTGGTGAGGCTACTATTGTTATTCCTACTCTACAGAGGAGAAAACCACAACTCTCTGAATAGCTTGCACGATAATTATTAAAAATGTGCCACAAAGGGGCGCCTGGCTGGCTGAATCAGTAGACCATGCAACTTTTGATCTCGGGGTCATGAGTTCAAGCCCCATGATGGGTGTATAGCTTACTTAAAAAAAAATTTGCAGCAAAACAACTGCTTTCCAAGGAGGGATCTTCTATATACTACTCTTCTGTTACAGCATCTTATACGTTTTCATCAAGGGTTAGTTGCTGTGAGTGGAACTACTTAGCTGATGGCATGCTTTGTACCAAATCTAACATCTTGGACCCGTGAAGTTTTATAGCCATAATTGAACATGTATGAAATGTTTAAATATTTATATTATCTATTATTAATATGTATTATAATATATTATATATTTATAATATAGATATATTTTGTCCAATATTATTTACAACCATAAAACCCAGAAGCAACTTGGGTGTCCAGTGCTTGGTAACTGTGTAAATAAATTGTGATATCGTCACACTATGAGACAATTTAGATCACGATCCGAAGCATTTCTAATGACGCTGGAAAAGTCCAAACATGTTGAGTTGAAAGGTGGGTTAACAATCCGTATGTATAGAACAGTCCCAGTTACTCAGACATTTATTCACTGTCCAAAACGTCAACAATTGTCACGCATCCTTTACGTGAAATGACCCATGTCAAGTGCTCGATTCAGTACCTAGCATACAGTAAATACCCAATACAGTGCTAACACGACAGAAAGCACGCAAACGTGATTTCGTGATTTTCAATTCTTTCCAGACCTAGAAAAAAATGTCCTTTATGATAACAAATGAAATGGTGTGGGGATTTATCCCTTCATGCATTTCCATCTCCTGAAGTCACTTCTAAACTGTATCTGCCTCTCACCAGGAGGTAACATATTAGACTATTTATTATAGGACTACACTTAAGCACAGGCGGATTCCGTTTAAAAACCTGTTGACTGCAGAAGGAAACATTTTCCTGCTCTCCCAATTTTCTGTGCGCTAGTAAATAACTCTATCTCAGGGTTCCATACATGTCTCATTTGTGGTTTTGTAATATACTGCCACCCATGCTTTAGCTGCTATTTAAATCTAATACGCTCTCTTTAAAATTCCCAAGCTCTTAAGGGCAAAACTTTTGCCAACAATCTTTCAGAACAAAAATAATGGAAGTGGTTCAAGCAGGACCACCCTGTGAGATAGATAATATTGTCCCATCTTACAGATAAGGACACTGAGGGTCAGCTGCTAAGTGGCGTAAGTTAGGATCTCATGTCTCCGTTACAGGGACATGAACGATATTAATGAGTCTGAAAGCACCATTATAGAAACAATTTTTCTTTTACTGTAGTACATAACATAAACTTAACCACTTTAACCATTTTTAGGTGTCCAGGTCAGGGGCGTTAAGCACATTCTAGAAACATTTTGTATGTGATCGGTTCCCTCATCATTATTACGGCCAAGTGTCTCCGTGCTTATTTCCCACATTAAGACTGGATCCAGCCTTTCGGGGTTGGGGGAGGAGACAGACACAAAGGAGTGGATTCAGCAGCCAGGAGGATGAGATCCAGGGTGAGCAAAGGCATTGCATAACCGGCCAGCTCAGCACTGGAACATCCACCCCAGGCCAGACTGTGTGGGCTGCTTGGAAAGCAGAGCTCTGAGCTGAGTGGAAGTTCTCTGCAGTGCGTGTGTGTGTGTGTAAAATGCAGACACACATGGGAACCAGTTAGCTCTCTCATCAGAGCACGACCAGAGAAAAACTGGGAAGAAATCCTTTCTTTGAAGCCCTGAGTGACGTCAGCCACTTTCCTGCTCTAAGCCATGATGTGAAGAAGGCAGGCACGGTCTAGAACATGGATTTGGAAACTTTGTTGTGTCCCTTACCACCCCTGCAGCACACTGCAGCCCTGTGTGCACTTGCTCAGCCTTCATGAAGCACCTGCCAGGTGAATGCACAAGTGATAAGCAGCTCACATTTCACCCAGGCACGGGGAACAGACCCTTTGGAGACTACCAGGTCATTCGGGGATCCAGGTAAGTAAACTGGACAGCCACGAGACACAGCAAGGCCAATCATTTCTGCCTGAACATACACCTCCCGTCCACTCCTGCCTCTCCGTCTCCAAGGCCACCACCCTAGTCCACACTGCCATCACCTCTCTGCTGCAATGCTGCAAATACACTCTAACTACACGCCTACGATCAACTTCCGGCCACTCTCCTGCTTAGACCCTTCCTACGTGTTAGGGACAAAGCTGTGCCCCCTTCGAAAAATCATAGGCTGAAGCCCTAACCCCCAATGTGACTGTGTGGGGAGATCAGGCCTTTAAAGAGGTAAATAATTTTATAAGGGTGGGACCCTAATCTGACAGGTCTGGTGTCCTTACAAGACGTCACAGAGCTCTCTCTCTCTCTTTCTGTGCACGCACAGAGGAAGGGCCACAGAAAGATGACGGCCACCTACAAGCTAAGAAGATGGCCTCCCCAGAAACTAACCCCACTGGGACCTCAATCTTGGACTTCCAGCTTTCAGAAATATGAGAAAATAAATGTCTGTGGTTTAAGCCACCTACTCAGTAGTATTTTGCTACGGGAGCCCAAGCAGATCAATATACTATGGGTTCCCACTACTCTTTTAATCCAAGCTTTCCCCCAACTCTGGGAGCTCTGCGCCCTCCTACAACTTCTTTCTTCCTCACTAATCCTCAGCCCCATGGCCTTGCTTTCAGCTTAAGCAAGTGAAATCTTTCCTGCCTCAGGGCCTTTGCACATGCCCTTCCTACTGCCTGAAAAGCTCTTCTCTCAGTTCTCTTCATGGCTATTATTTCTCAGTCTTTAGCTCTCAAATTCAATATCCACTTTCACTGATGGTGTTAAAGAGGCATCTGCCCTCTTCTTCCTACCACCACCAATCTCCAAAACACTTACTTTTCTCTTTCCTTCCTAGCACTTACCACGATCTTTAAATATACATTTGCTTTTACTTGTCATCTGCCTCTTCCACGAGACTACAAACTCTACAAGAACAGAGTCCCATCTGGGAATACTCAGTGCCTACCCTCTAGTTGCCACTCAAAGATTTGGGGGAAAGAACACATTCACTTTTGATAAAGCCCTCAAGGACTTAGAGAGTAATCTTCTACCAAAACCAAAGATATCTTTACCATCGCTCCATAGCTCCTACCCACCGCACCGCAAAAGAGTTCAATTAGTCACTGGATGAAGGGGGAAAGTGGACGGCAATGATAAGAGCGAATAAAAACTTCTACGTTCGGAAGTTGTACACAGTGGAGATTTTTAGGAGTCTCACTCTATCAAGGCCACTGAAAACTTATTGCCTAAGATTTTACTACCTACACAAAACTAAATCAGCCTGTGGGAAGGTACTGAAGGTATTGAAGTTGAGCCCTGATCTTTCTTTT